CATAGCTTTCCACACATTTTATAAGCAAAATGCATGCGGAATGTAAATATAACACAAAAGTATGTTTCTTTGGCATATAACATATAAAATGTCAAAAATTGAAATAAAATTTAGTTGGACTTTAACAGCAGCGTTATCAATATATCATATGTCTCGTTCTTGCCTCTGATATCACTTCCAAAAGTAAACAAACATTGCAGTAAGCTCAAATGTCTGTGCACAGATGAGGCCTAAGCGGGGAGCTTTGCTTTACGTCGGGTCACGTGCTCCCAGCATGTGTGTTGACCTGGTAACATAACCTCTATTTATAGAATATGACAGAGGGATCTGATGAAAATCTTTCGCATATTTTACACAATTATACATCATTTGAAAAACATGGGTGAATTAATGTCTGTATAGAAAAATCCTCAAATTACTTTACTTTGTTTGATATTTGATTTAGTGTTTGAGTTATCTCAAAGTGCTTCAGAGTACGCACTATATTTCTTAGCGAACATTTAATTTGGATGTGAAGAGTCAGGATATCCGTTTGAACACCGTATAAAGACGCCGGTGTAAAGACGAATAATGACCCCCTTAGAAAATTGACTGGAGGTCATTTTCGACGTCGAAAAATGACCCCCAGGGCATTATCTGACGTCGAAAATGACCCTTTTGCCCGTAGGAAAAATGGCATCAACCTTAAAATCTGTATAACCTACGTGAAGGAAAATTTAGAAAAGTTATTGCCTTGACGAATATTTGTAAATTTGTTAAAGTCATAAAGATTCTAAATTAAAAAATATATTTACTAACAAATCATTATAATGACCCAGGAATTTTCATAATGCTTACTTTTTATGAGGCTGTTGAAAGCCCTGTAACATCAACTTATTTGTCAGTATCCTGCCTCTGTTTTAAAGTTGATTGTACTCAGACAATGCTCTAGTGTACCGAATAAGTTGGGAGACGTAATTAAATACGATATGCAGGTGATAGTGGAATATTACGAAATAAATACACATAAAAAGTTGGCGATGGAAAAGCCGATTCTAAAGTCATACCGTTTTCATATAGTTCAGTTGTTAGTTGGCCATAAACAGCAAGATATTGAAATATGAAAAAGATGTTTAAAAAGATTAAGATTAGAATCTTTCCTATTGCAAGCAATAGACATACACAATGATCACCTCCCGGAAGAAAAATCTTGTTCTGTACACGTTAGATAACTCGTTCGTTGTGTGAAAAAGTTTATCCAACCGTTTCCATGGTAATGGAAACAATTTTAAGAATCTTAAATATAAATTCATTTGTGAATTTTCAAAAAGATTGTTCAAGCCAACCTTGAGAACATTCGTTGATTAAATTTGTCCTTTATTGTTCCCATGGCAACAGTGGTAAGTTTGAAAAAACAAACTATTTAATGAACATCTAGAGTTGCTGATCATCATTTCTGAAAAATGTCATTATGCTTGTCCGAGTCATCTCCGAGAAAATGCTCGGACAAAATAATAGGTCATGAGATAACAATATGTCGTCCTGACTTACGTTCTTGACGTCACAATAACAGCTTCAACTAATAGCCATTTTGACGTATCTATTGTGAAATTTTTATTGTGTTGAGAACACAGTATGTATAATAAATAGAAACACATGACACATGTAATGCTGTTAAATACATTTTAATTGCGTGTTTGTCCAGTGTTAATCAGAAAACGTAAGAGATTTACCCGTTCAGACCCAGACCTAGGCATCAATCATCTCTTTTAAACTTTGTATCACTCTGTTGGAACGGGGGTCATTTTTCAACAGCGGTCAATTTTTTTTATAGGTTGCACATGTAGAAAGCTGGCCTTGGTCTCTTTTTCTACAAAAAATTACATGTTCTACGGATAGGGGTCATTATTCTTCTTTATACCCGCTTTTGTTCAACGTGCAATGAGTCTGGCTAAAAATCATATAACATGACAAAAATTTTGCCAGGAAAGAGGAAAGCAATTATATTTTTGGATTCAAATTGTTATTTATTATAAAATTAATATTGCTTAATCTTGCTGAAACTGTTAAGGAAGCATGGCCGTGGATTTTATTCCCGCTCGTTCTTTTTCATTCCAACTTTTTCTACGGGATGATTGAAAAAAATTCGAAAAATGTTCTAAACACTGATGGTAATTCAAATTGTTAAGAAATGATGCAGCGAAACAATATACTTTTTTTTTAGAATTAGCCGCCTTTGTTTTCCATTGGTTTCAAATGTTTTGATTTTTTGATTATTTTTGAAAGTGTTCTTCTATATAATGGATTTTTTTGGTCAAATTATTCAAAGTTTTGATCAACAAAAAAAAACACATTTAGCTAAACTATTTTTATGTTTGATAAGGTGGCCTGTGGTATTACACAGAAGAGGCTACCGATGGTCAAGCTTGTGTGATGAAATCCACAATCATCAACACTAGTAAGGAGATGATGACGTACAGTGACTTCCCAATACCCAAGGAATACCCAATCTACATGCATAACAAATACGTACTCAAGTACTTTAACCAGTATGCGGAAAAATTTGACCTTAGAAAATACATAAGGTTCAAAACAGAGGTATTACCCTAGAATTTAATCATTTTCCTTTTCTAACTTATAGAAATGAATTAAATATTCAGTACGTTTATTAATTGATTGTGTTAACGTTGTTTGTTGTTTCTTTATGTGTGTTATTATAGGTGACATCAGTAAGCAGGAGTCCAGACTTTAACACATCTGGGCAGTGGAACATTACAACAGAAGATTTAACAACAGGAGAGACTAAAGAACACGTATTTGATGCCGTCATGGTGTGCACTGGTCATCATGCGGAGAAAAATATTCCAGACTTTCCCGGTATACCAAGATATAATAGAACATTATTTGTTTTTTTTTTGGTAAATGTTTGGGAAAATAGGATTGAAATTTTGATCCATCTTTGTATATATATATATATATATATATATATATATATATATATATATATATATATGACATATGGCTTTAGGAGACCAAGGAGGATATATTTTCTGGCTTAGGGAGACCACTGGATTAAGGCGACCTTTTTCGGTCTCCCTATTATTTTGACCTCATCAGTATTGCAAATGTCTTTTTATAGATAAATAAACAGTCTGCCATTAAATATTATTAATCTTTAACTCTGTTATTTAACATTCAAAAGTTGTCTAATTCCTATCATCTTCCCTAAAAAAGAAAAGAATGTATAACCTACGTATAATTTCAAAGGATAATTTTTCTGCATTTTGGAGACCATGAAAAACATGCAATTAAACAAAAAATCTAGCATATATATTTTTTCCGCTTTTGATATGTTCAAATGAGTGTTTCTTTAACTTAGTTTTCCACTTTTTATGTTAAAAACCTAAAAAGGAAAAATATTGTAAATTTATGGACCATGTTTTGAATTCTTAGCAAGTGCTTTCCGTCATTTGTTCCGAATGCCATCGGAATGCCTCTTCAGTTTTCAGAAAATGACCTCTGAACACCATGAATGTTGAGAAATTTGGGTAAGTAACTAAAATGATACAGTAATAAGTTGTAATTAAGAATACGCAAGACAAACATTCGTGTTTTTTTTTTGTTTTTGTTTTTGTTTTTGTTTTTTTTTTTTTGCCTAGTAATTTAGCTTTTAAGAGAAAAAGTATGATTTTAAATAATCATTAGACTATAGTTCGGTATATAAAATCCTGAAGGAAATTCGAAATAAAGTTAAATGATAGGCCCCTATATTTTTAATTCTTTTATACAAGTCCACAAACAAATTGCAGAAAATATTTAAAGATTAGGCCGAACGTAGAAAAAAATAGTCTCGCAAGTTGACGCAGCTATGTCGAGCTTAAAAATTTAAATTAAACTTTCTGTAAACATCATGCAGGACATGATCATCATGATATAGTATAAATGAAACAGACCCTGTAAGAAAAAAATAGCTGTAATTTAATAATTATTTATTAATATAATGTGGTCCTCTGCTGTTAAAATACATATGCAGTAAAAAAAGGGTGAAGCAGATTTGATACAATACATGGCTGAAGGAACGTACGAAATGAAATTTAGGTATACTATAGAAAACATTGCTCCTTTATGTTTGGACCCCCTCAATAATAACCTCTGATGATCTATTTTTTACTTTTGCTTTTGGCCCCCCTAAATAATAATCTCTGGTAATGTATTTTTCTTTTGCTTATTAAGAAATTTTTAGTTTGTAGCCTCCCCCAACCTGAAACTGAAAAATGTTGTTTGGTTGTGCTCACCCCCCCCCCCTCTCCAACTAAATTACGTACGGGCCTATTCTCCATCCCTGAGGTTTTCTTTCACCAAAGAAAGATTAATTGGTAACAGTTCAGATATATAGCAATATTTACGGAAGGGAATATTCTCGTTTAATTATGAAGATGTGACAGTAACTAAATGTTACACAGTGAGTGTAACATTTATTTAATATTATTGTAACAGTTAATGTTTACAAAAAGTGAAATACTGATACTATGAAATTTTAATGGATATATAGAAAATATACAAGTACAACCATTATCGTAAACCACATACACGAAAAGCTTTTTTTTTTCCAAGCAATTGGAAATTCTTTACAAATCATTATCGCAGCCTAGTTCCCTTCATTATTTTCAGCAGTTCAGTGACGGAGATAAAATGATCATTTGGGGTTTATACCCCCCCCCCCTCTCCCCACCAAATGAAACCAAAAAATGTTTGGTTTTGGTCCCCTTCAACTGAAATTGATTCCTACTTACCATGCTTACAGGCTTAACTATGAAGATGTGACAGGGAGTGTAAAAACAATAATTGTTCAGACGGATACATAAGCTGATATAAATATCAAATTTTAATGGATAGATAGAAATTAATATACAATTACAACCATTCATTATAAACTACATAAAGATAATTTTTCAAGCAATTTGAAATTCTTCATTTTTTAAGATAATATTTTATTTCGTATATATATGTTTATAGGTTTATTCGTATCAACAAATCTGTGTACGAGTTAATAACGCACCCTGGGTTCCCTGCATTTTCAGTGACAGAGAACCAGATATAAGAATGCAGGGAAACAAGCCTTGTTACAAGGTTTGAGGTTTGTATATTTTATATTTTAATTTACACTTTTTAAAAATTATTATGCAAAACTCTGTGTGCAGATGAATATTTACATTTTAATGTTATAAGTCGTTTTGTGGTTCATTTATTTGCGGTGACTGTCCCACGTGTGTTTACCTGTTTACATTCACCTACTGACCTAGAGTCTTCAAAATATACCTTCTGTAATCATGACTGTTGTAATCTTGTTTTTATGTTAGTTTACCATATGTAACTTGACTGTTGTATAGATTTATAGCGATCACTGCAAGCTTTTAATATTTATGTGAAGAGAAATTTCAGACTATCAATCACAGGCACTTGTTTCATATACGGTGCACCCCTACTTATTTTTACCACAAGGTATCTAACTCAATTTTAGGCACCCTGCTTCAAGCTCGTATTTTGTTCATATATCAATCATTAACCTACTTTAAAATGACATTGTTCGCTTCATGAGACTTTTTTCTTGTCAAATAAATCGTTTCAGACGTCTCTGGTCGAGACTCTTTATTGTAAACCACTCATTTATTCCTCGAAAATTACCTCGATACATTGTTAAATTTAAGACTTTAGATGGGATACAACTTCCAGTTGGGGTAGAATAAAACCAGAGACTTCCGAGTATTCCATTCCGAGGTCTCTGGTTTTATCCTTCATTTATAACCCCAACTGCAAATTTGTTTTGAAAATTACCTTGATACATCTTAAGACTTTAGATGATACAAATTTCATTTTTTTCACAGGTCACAGGGTTTCAACTTAAAAAATAAAAATTCTCACCGTTAAGATATGTTGGAAATTTTAGCGTGATATGTTGATAATTTGCCAAATTATTATGTAATAAAAGGGACTTTATATGATCACCCGGCGCTGTCACTTTAGTTCAGTCTTCACAACAATTCTTTTTCAGCACATGCCCTTCGGGCATGTAGACCTATCATTTTTACCCAGCGCATTCAAATTTGTACATGCCCTACTCAAAATTCTTACATTTACCAGTATTGTGCTACAAAAAAAAAACATTAGGTATAAAGGTTTTATATTAATTTTTTCAGCATTGTATTTCTCCGTGACTGTACCACGTGTGTTTATTCACCGTGATTGCCATTTTCTAAAGCGTTTTTGTTCATTAATAATTTTTGAGTTGCATGCTGGTCATTTGTTGGCCGGTTTAGCTGAACTGAATTTCAGAAATGGGATCATGACTGTAGTGCCACAGTATGTGGCATCGATGAACGTCTCGTAATTTAGCAAGAAACTTCGAGAAAACAAATAGGTTAAACTAAACACTTCAATGATTAGATTGACAATCATTTGACAGGTCGTATCGAGAATGTAGACAGGCAATCCATCTAAGACATTACATATAGCAACGTTTACGGGAATAATGGGGGTAGGACAGAATAAATGGCAAGTAAAGATCGTACAATGAAAGAAGATTCACATATGCCCTCTTCGGACATGTAATTTGACAATTTTTACATGCCCAGCTGCAAATTTAACAGGTCCCTGGCATTGGACTCCCGGGTTATTTGGAAGACTGTTAGTTTAGTTTCATGAGGTCCGACAACATTGTTTCTCAATGTCTGCTCCCTCTACCCCATACACTTATCTTGATAAAATTATATAAATTATATTATTAATTACCCTGGTATATAAATTGCATAAACCGGTCTTGTTATAAATTATATAAACTGGTCTTGTTTATATAATTTTACAATGTCATAAACAGCTGCTTAAGTGCATATAATATTGTATTAAATGGATTTATATATAGGATTAGGGAAAGATCCTCACTTGATTATGCCAGCATATTTTGCTCGTAGGAGTTTATTATCTACCACACATGATCAATGTCACTTTTGGACGTGAATGACTTTTGACACCCTAACTTCAGTTCAAATCAACGTTAACTTTATGTGACGTCTTTCTGAATCTTTTTTGGCATGTAACTTGGGAAAAAACAATTAAAGTACTCTCGATGCATTTGATTTCTCTTAGCCCGTTTAAACATTTCCTAGGTCTATACCAGTTTTTGCAGGGGCGAAACTATATAGAAGTTGGAAAAGAAACCTATCCCCTTTTTGACGTATTTGGTTTTCGAGGGGTGAAAATTTTCAATGTTACACTCAACTACATGCAACATTTATTATATTATACTGAATGTTTTATACAAATACAAATAATAGTGAACCTTGAGCGCATAAATCTGCGCAGTCACTATTTTTTGGAATATCACCCGTCGTCAAGCAATGTTGACTGTTGCGACACTGGAGGGCGTGGCTTCATTATTCAGTGGGTAATAGTGCTTTTTAACAAATGTTTCTTGACGAATCAGATTGATTCATTTAATATACCTGAAAGTACAATATTAATTAATTGTCATCATTTTCCTATATTAGCTTTTTACTGGTAATGGTTTTGAAATGATAGGAACATGCACTGTTCAAAAAGTCTTAAAATGTTGTTTTGGCTCAATTTCTTTGTTAGATTACTGTGTTGAACTAAGGCAGGTCAATTAAAGTAACATGATCCAATAGATTCCATGTACATTTAGTACTGTAAAGTAGACAAATTTATTGTTCTCACAAATATTTCTCAAATATTGATTTAAGTTGGTCTCCTGAAGGATGTATTAATGCAATTGGTCTGCTTAAGGTATAATATAGACATGCATATTTTATTTTGAATTTGTATTATGTCAATCATTAGAAATATATGGATCTTAATTAAAAAACATTGTTTTTATTAGAATTTAAGATATGTATAATAGGCATGTATTCTTCATGCTTTTCCATAATTAAGTCCTTTTTTACAGGGTCTCTGCTAGAATCATGTGGACCCCAGTGTAACACATCTATGGAAAGAGAGAAAATCTCAGCTCAAGGGTCAACATGTCTTTATTCCAAGAAAGGTAAATTGATAATTTTTTCTGCTAAAATACTCTTTTATAAATTATAATATCAATGCAAAAGAATGAACAAACAACATACCTAACAACATTTTGAAAATGAAAGTGCAGTAACAGTTAATAATTATGATCAATTGAATGAATGTTAATAATCCAATCAAAGTCCTTGTTGTATATCATTTTTGCTAGGGCTGTGTATTGAGCAAAAAAAAAGAAGAAGACATTTTTTAATGCGATATGCAATATATTGGATTCTTTAACAATTCTGTCAAAAAAGTCTTATAAATCATTATGCTTGAATTTTATAAAAATAATAATTGTTTTGCAACTCATTTTTAATTTTTTGTCTCACTGTCTTTAAAAATTACACTTCAAATTCAAACTTTTCTTGACTGTAAAATCAACATGCTAAGTAAAGTTGTCTATGTATTTTTATGATTTTGTAATAATCATCTAAGATGTGCTACCTCCTTAACGATTATATCATTTTTGATCAGTTTTAATTCAAAACAGTTAAATATAATCTTTGGTGATTGAAATTCCCAACTTTTTCACAGAATTACATAAAAAAACTGCCTGCCCAAAATGTATTGGAATTAAGTTATTTTTTGGATACGATATATTCATTAATCTAGATATGTATCAATATATTTGGTGCAGCCCTAATTATTGCTGGTTCATAAATAACTAAAAAATAAACAAATGCCAAATGTTGGCATGGTTGGCATTGCAACTGTATCTTACACATTCAAATCAGGCCATTCTTACAAGTTCTGAAACATGTTGGATTCTTCACTAGTGCCGCTATTACAGAGAAGACAGCTTGTTTATAAACTGTGTCATTCAAAGTTTCAGTATATATATGAGAAACACAACAAATCTAAATGCTTAGCCATTACACTAAATGATGAATCTACTTTATTGTGTTATTTATTGACATTTGACAATCATGATTTATAAATCATTTTGAAATTTTTAAAAACAAATTAAAGCAATTCCCATCAATTCCTCCCTAGACAAATATATTAATGATAATTTTTACAGCAATACCTTGCTGTAAATTTCAATTCAAGTGATTTGATTTTTTTTTTTGTTTGTTTGTACATTTATGGTTAATTTATCCTTAGAAAAAAATTAATAAGAAAGTAATTTTATTAAAATTTTATAACTTAAATAATGTCTAGATTCATGTATTGAATCATAAAATTGTTTTGAGAGATGTATCATATCATAATGTCTGTGTATTATCCAAACCCAATATACCTACATATCACGATGTATCATTTCAGCATTATTTGTTAGTGCTGTTTGATTTGTTTTGTATATGCCCTTTCCTGCTCAGAAAGCAGAAAGCAGAAGTTCTTGCTTCATAATCGTCACTCAAGACCTGAAACTGTATTAGAAATCTGTATGACGTGTGAAATTTCATATCTGTTTTGACATAGTTGTTAATTTGTATAACAAAATGCAATAATACAACACAATTAATTTAATAGCATTAATTTTTGTATCAGCAAAAAAAAAAAAAAATATTTTCCCTACCTACTGACCCAAGTGTTTAAAGACTCAATCGGCAATGCCAAACCAACAATTTTTTAATTGTGGCCTTATCCACTGATATTTCTTTTGTTCTGATTCTTAGTTTCTTTTGTTCTGATTTTTTGTTCATTGAAAAAAATTAACGCCTTTTCTTTAATTCCTTAATTTTCAAGTTGAAGAGTGCATCCTGACAATCAGTTATGATGTTACAGTGTCCACTGTCCAATCCGACAACTGTGCAATCCAGCACACTGGACTTTCCGACCATTAAAACTTAAATATTTTATTCCCAAAAATTTCTGTATAATATATATAGAATAAAACACTGTATATTCCGACCACTGTACATTCCGAATTCTGGTGCTTTTTGTCGACAAGACTAGATAATTACCTTATGATTTTACCTGGGTAATTCGACATAATTATACATTTGTACCATAATTAGTCGCTAGTCCCATTTGGGCACAAGCTTGGTCTACTTAGTAATCAATTACATGTATTAGTTTGATGGTGTTTATATAAACAATAAATGAACTCTGTTTGAATTTAAAAATTAGGCAATCAGTACTCTTCGTTGTTATCAATTTTATTCTCGCATTGACAAAATAGCATCCATGCGATAGAAAATAAAAAGGAGTACCTGATATTTAGATTGCCTTTACCTAACAGAATAAATAAGATTTTTTGCTTGAAATTGAAATCAAACATGCAGTCAGAGTCCTTTAAAGTCATGTCTCCCTAAAAAATGAGTACAGCAAACTACTGTATAACATGTAGACAACACACAATTTGAAGACAGCATCTCGTCTAATAGAAAATGTTTCATTTCCGGGTTAATATACACTGAATTAAGTGAGACTGTGCACATAAAAGATTTGCAGGAAGCAAAAAACTTCCACTTTAAGTAGACCTATTAAATTTTAAAATGTTAATGTTGTTTGATAAAAATTAAATCGCAATAACAATGTTTTAGAGGTACGTCCCATTTGTTTGAAAAGTCACGAGAGGGTATTAATAGCACAGTCTATCTTAAGAAGTTAACAATGCAGAAAAAATTGGAGAGAAATGTAGTGTAGAAAAAAAAATAAAACCACTGTTTACAGAAGGTAGACAAAATATTTAATATCTACTGTTAGTAAGTAAAATGCTAAAAATTAAATTGCAACAACTCGAAGTGATTGGCAGTTCCATCTGTTTTGCACGTTTAAAAGAAATTATCGTATATTACTACAGAGTTTACTAGTGCTGTAACAAATGATGTGTCTCAAAGAAATGTTAATCAGCCGAAGGTATATTTTATACAACAAAGAAACACACACACACACACACTTTGACAATTAAATACACATGTACTCTAAACCTAACGAAAAATGTTTTTTTTTTCTGTATGAAGTCACCTGACATTTATCATAATGCTCAGAAATATTCAACACTGGGTAATCCGACACACTGTCTAATCTGACATTGATTTTATTCCCCTTCAACATGTTGGATAAGACAGGTTTCACAGTATATCAATGACGTAATGTATGCAATATATAAATAACTGTCCCACCTGCCTGCTAATGTGGAAACAAAACTTCCCTCCATAACAAAAGAGTGCACCAATGGAGATCATTCGGCAAACCTCGGCTGATTCCGTCACCTTCATCAAACGTTTGATGAGGTACGAATCGGCCGAGGTGTGCCGAGTGCAATGGAGATAATCTCGAAACTTGTGTAGTAAGATCAACTCCTAACAATGCACCACTTTTCAGCATTTATATTCATTGCTTAAGGGTTTATTCTTACTAATGAAATAAGTTGTGGTGATGCCTATATTTACTGTAAGACATTTGTAATAATGAAGCATTTGTGAGATGTACCCTTTATCAGTTATTTACAAACAAGGCATTTGAAGAGGATGAGCACAGTGCATTTTTTTTATCTGAAGTTAAGGTGATTTTAAGCAAAAAACATTTCTTGTCCATATTTAGAAAGCAAAATATTTTGACTTGGTTTAAAGTTTTATAAACCCATTAAACTTGTTAAAAAATTAAGTATGTAAACTAAATTTTGAATAAAGAGTTGGTCCTCTGTGTAAAACTTGCTCTGTGAGCAAGTTGGAATTACAATGCCTTTCACGATTCCTTCACAAAAAATGGGGTGATGACCCACAATATTAATAAATGTAGATTAAACATCCTATTTATGTCAGTTATTGTATTAAATGAGCTTTCAACCATTTTATGCTTTATGGTTTTAAATAATATTTTATATTTCATAAATTAGACAGTGAAATTTGCAAAAAAAAAAAAAAAAATTATTGATTTTTAAACTGTTGTTACATTTAGGAATGTGGGTATATGTACATATCCTGTTCAAGTCTTAGTGTATCACATTATATCATGATATACTTCAGACAAATTAGTACACCCGTAGTTTTGAATACAATTCATACATTGATTTCATTTGCCGCAATGGTCTCTTTAATATTGCAATAATGCATTTGGTCTTCCTAATGCATGTATAATGCAGGTACTGTATATACTCTATGTCCAACTTATAGGTGAGTCATAAAAAGATTAGTATTTTGAAACCAGGTTAAAACGTCAGAGCATTGATTTGAAATTGTCAATTGATTCTGGCAAAAAGTTGTACCGATTTATAAGCGGGTCAATAGCAAATCCCTCCAAAATAACCTCAAAAAATACAACTGATTTATAGGCAGACCACCTTATAGGCGAGTATATACCGTATAGTTTTTGTTGAATTTTGCTAACAGCAAAACACTATGAATAATGAATTTTGGAAAAAAAGATTATTAAGTTTAATGATGCATGTATGTAGTATAGAAATATTGTTCATATGCCTGTACATGGTACAAATATGCATTTTACAGAGTGTACATATGCCAGAATCATATGGACCGCAGACTGGCCCTGGTGATTCCGTTAAGAAAAAAGAGGAAAAATCAGTGCTTGTGCTCATTGGTCATTGGACAAAGGTAAATAGATTTATTTCATGAAACTAAACATGTAAATTACTAGGATATTAAAATATCACAATTAAAATACATGTACTGATTTATATATATATGGATATCAGTTGGTCTCCTTGATGCAGTTAAATGCATTTGTTATCCCTTTTAAGTGGATCTTTTAAATATTATGCAGTTTATTTAGAAGCTCTTTATTATCTGCACTGTTCACTTTTACAGGGTGTATGCCAGAATTTTTTGAAGAACAGTCTGAATCTGACATGGAAAAAATGAAGAAAAACAGCCTTCCTGTTTATAAATCTACATTCTGACAAAGGGTAATTTTGTTTAGTTCAATTAGAAGTGCACATTTAATTTCAGTTGCTTTCCTTAATGATATATTATAGCATTTTTATTCCCTTATGAACAATATGTATACTTGTAAAGCATGTATCACAAAATCTTCTGCAAACAAAGTTTTGGGTGTATATTGCTTGTTGCTTAACGTCCCTCTTGAGAATTTTTCACTCATATGGAGACGCCACCACTTGCTGGTGGAGAGCTGCAAATTTTTGTCCTATACTCAGCACTTACGGCCATTGAGCATTGAGGGATCTTTATCGAGCCAGCACCTACTGTGACACGGGACCTCAGTTAATACGTCTGTCTCATCTGAAGAACGGGTCTCCACATTTCACAGTGGGATTCAAACTCGCTATGTAAGGATCAGCTTCTTTCTCCGCGACTCTAGAATAGACGCTCTAACCACTGCATCTGCTCTACTTTGGCAACTTTGGGTGTATATAAGCATAGGAATCATCATGTCCATCTGTCTGTTCATGTGTTTGGCCACTTGTGTGACTAGCTTTTTTGTTCCAATTCTGGCTGAGATAAATTGATTTAGGTCATCTAAATACAAACAAATTAAGGGAAATTACTATGGTATTGGGATGAACATTTTGGAATACTGTCTCATTGTTCCATTGTAGTTGGTCTCTTTAATGTTGTAATAATGCATCTGGTCTTCCTAATGTATGGCATACACTGTATGCATGTATAATGTTGTTAAAGTTGGATGAATGTAAAACAGTTCTTGCGTGATGACAAAGGTAAATAGATTTAGTTCATGTAACTAAACATGTAAATTACTAGGGTATTAAAATCTCTCGTTTTGAATACTGATTTACATGTGGAGAGTAGTTGGTCTCCTTAATGCAGTAATAATACATTTGATCTTCCTTATGCATACTGCATATTTATTTTTTATAAATTTAATGGCTGACATGTATGAGGGTTGATCCAAAAGTTTGTTGAATTTCTTCATATTTTATTTATTTATTAGTGAAAGAGGTTGAATACTGATTTAGATGTGGATAGTAGTTGGTCTCCTTAATCCAGTAATAATACATTTGGTCTTCCTTATGCATACTGTATATTATATAAATTTAATGACTGACATGTACCAGGGTTGATCCAAAAGTTCGAGGAATTTCTTCATATTTTTAGGTCACCTGAGTAACTCAGGTGAGCTATTGCTATCCGTTTTCGTCCGTCGTCGTGCGACGTACATTAACATTTGAACATTTTTAGCTTCTTCTCTGAAACCGCTCAACCAATTTCAACCAAATTTGGTATATAGCATCTTTGGATGAAGGGAGAGGGCAAACAAACATTATTTTAAAGATTGCCTTAGCGTGTCGTTTATTCTGTGCATTTATGGCAATTAATATTAAAATCGTCCAGACCTGTTAAAACCCATGGATGTCCACAAAAATGTTACTCAAATCAAATTTCATGTTAAAATTCAAAGTAAATATAAATACCTGTGTAATTGTATAATGGTGTAACAAATGTTTAAGAATGCCATATTTAAATTTCAAAAATTGCTCTAAATGTGCATGAGATAAATATCTAAATGCTGTGAAGAAGCACTGTGCTACAATTACCATATTAAAGAAGTGATTTTAATGAAATCTTGTTTCTAAAAAAACCTGTAGAAAATTTAAAGAAAATTAGAAATCAGGATTCTTACCCCAAAACCATCAGATGGTATGAAAGCCTTCAAACAATGTGTTTTACATAATTCGCATTTCCAAAAACTGTGATCATTAATTTGCCGACCTATTATTGTATGTTCTAATGAAGGAGAATTCATGTGCAAACTTCTACATGAGAAGAATAAAAGTATTGCCGTGTCCTGCAAGAAAACAAAATCACATTATATTATCAATTGCAGATGGTGTCTACGTCTTTCAACTAATTTTGCAACGGCAAGAGTATCTTCTATGTAGTAACTGTTTTGAACCAAGACATCCTACTGACAACTAAGTCCATGATACAGAGCTTTCTACTGCCTTGTTTAGAATTTTACATGTCGAGAAATTTATGGTCAGTGTAATGACCTTGTTTGCAAATCTAAATCTTCATTACGTCGAGTTTAGACTTTCATGTGAATTTCATGGTCCCTGTCCCCCTGGGGCCTGAGGGGCGGGGCTAAAACCACCAAAAATAATGCAATCTTTAAAAATCTTCTTCTTTACTCCTGGACATCAAGCAGTCAAACTGTTCGCATCATTGTAATAAGCATTGAGCCCTCTACCAAAATTTTGAAATTCATGGCCCCAGGATCAGGGGTTCTGGTGCTAGGATGGGGCAATATAGATCATATAGTGAAAGTGCATTATTTCTTTGAAAATCTTATTCTCTGCTCCTGGGTATTAAATAAAGTAACTAAGTACATAGTTATGAAAAGCAAGACTGCCTCTTCCAAAATTGTGAATTTCATGGCCCCAGGGTCAGGGGTTCTGGTGTTAGGGCGGGGTTCTATTGATTATATAGTGAAAATGCATTAATTCTTTGAAAATCTTCTTCTCTGCTCCTGGGTATTAAATAAAGTAACTAAGTACATAGATATGATGAGGAAGAGGGCCTCTTCCAAAATTTTGAATGTCATGGCTCCAGGGTCAGGGGTTCTGGTGTTAGGGCGGGGCTCTATTGATTATATAGTGAAAATGCATTAATTCTTTGAAAATCTTCTTCTCTGCTCCTGGGTATTAAATAAAGTAACTAAGTACATAGTTATGATGAGGAAGAGGGCCTCTTCCAAAATTGTGAATTTCATGGCCCCAGGGTCAGGGGTTCTGGTGTTAGGGCGGGGCTCTATTGATTATATAGTGAAAATGCATTAATTCTTTGAAAATCTTCTTCTCTGCCCCTGGGTATTATTTAAACAAACTAAGTACATAGTTATGATATTCAAGATTGCCTCTTCCAAAATTGTGAATTTCATAGCCCCAGGGTCAAGGGTTATGGTGAAAAAGGGGGAGGGGATCTATTGATTATATAGTGAAAAAGCAAAATTTCTTTGAAAATACTCTTTTCTGCTTCTGGTTAAAAAGCAAAGAAGCTAAGCATATAGTTATGATGAGCATGATTGCTTCTTCCAGAGTAGTGAATTGCATGACCCCTGGGTCAGATGTGCTGGTGTAATGGTGGGGCTCTTGATGATATAGTGAAAATGCATTAATTCTGTTAAATAATCCTGTCTGCTCCTTAGTGTTAATCAGATAAACAAAGTGATTACTTACATGTATGATGAGCAAACTTCTGGTCCCAGGGTGAGAGGCTCTGGTGTTTCTAGGTGTGTGTGTGTGGGGGGGGGGGGGGGGGCTCTATTGATAATATAGTGAATCTGTAGTAAAAAATGCATTATTTCTTTGAAAATCTTCTCTGCACCTGGGCATATCAGAGGCAAAACAAGTAAAAGTTTTCATAAAGATTTTTGAACATCTGGCTTCGGGGCCACCAACGTATAAAATCTCAGCTCAAATCTCAACCTCAAATCTTAGATTTCTGCCTCAGCTGAGATTTTCCTAAAACATCATGCCACCAACATCTCTGAGATTCGATCATCTCACGTAAGCTGAGATTTGAGAAAAATCTTGGACTTATTCTTGTTGTTATATACGACCTTTTTTTCTGAAAATGCATGAATTTGTTGAATCAATGATTGAATTTACCTTTTAGTCAGTTATTTATGCAATATTTTAGTGAATATCACGAAAAAACACATCCCACACTTCCTTCGTCTTTTATTTGTTGTTTCGAGTCATTCAACAAAGAGGATTCCATTTCGACATTTGCGACAATATATTTTCATTGAACCCCCCATAAAAAATCCCTACAGAAGAATAACACAAAAACATATCTAAACTTTGTAGTCTTGGTTCTTGTCGACATAAACACACAAAAACATACACCGAGGCGTCACTTCCACCATTGTGACGTTACATGTAGCAGGTAGGCGGATCAAGACTATATTCCCCAGACTGATTAAAAGAAATCATTTTTCTTTGTTTGTTATATATGTTAGATATATCTGTATAATTCTTAATTCTCCATAGCAAAAAAAAAAATATATATATGAGTCATAGGGACTATTTAAATTTAGAATAAACCTGAGTGAATTTTTTTTCTAGCAGATCCACAAAAAAAAAATGCTCAGTAGGCCTATATCATGTAAATTTCTCACATGCTGTAATAAATTTCGCGAGTATACCATAATTGTGGAAAAACAGCAAACATATCCAGGAGCAGGTAACATACGCATGCTTAGTTTTACAGGATTTAATTTATCAAGGAAATTTCTCGAGGAACTGTTTAATTGTCGGTGAATTTCAGCTCATATCCCCCCAGGAGGAAGAAAAACCGGCTGAAATTTGAACTAAGGGCATGTATAGGGAAGCGGCAAACTAACACATCGCATTTTTCTACGATCCCCTGTGACAAAATGTCTCGGAAAGTCTTCTTTTTTTTTTTTTTAGATAAATAATAAACAACGAATATAGCACCACTTGACAAATAATCATCGTTACATTGAAAACCCAAATCAATCTCGCATACGCTCATTGAGTAATGAGAAACTGATTAATTTCTAATTGTATCGTAAATGAAAGTTTCACTGCGTAATGATGTAATTTTAAAAAAAAAAAAAGAACCTACGGATCATACTTTTTTGCTTCAAAATGTAAGTTGTCGTACTAAAAAATACTGTTTGTTAAAAAAGAATCTATTCTTGCAAGTACTATAGCTAGCAAGTACATTTGAATAGATGCAGTCCTTCTTGTGATTTATACATGTATTTCAGAATGGTCATAAGTCAAGTTTATTCTTATAAATAATATAAATGGTCAAGGATTTAAGTACGCACAATACATTGTGAGTATAAAGTCGATCCAAATTCTCAATCAAGAATTTTATAGATTTAATTAAGAACCAAATTAGACAGACTGCTATCATCTGTAATAAATAAATGGCGATTTACATATTATTTCGAAAG